GTCAGGAGATAGCACAGTTCTTTTAATACTGCCAAGCTTCTCCCTGAAACAAAGAGCCATCTTTTTTTTTTTTTAATTAATTTATTTTGAATTATCAGCAATCACTTCCATAAGCTTTTGAGTTTTAAATTTTTCTCCCCCTCCCTCCCCATCTCCCTCCCCAAGATGGTGCATAATCTGATATAGGCTATACATATACATTACTATTAAACATATTTTCACATTAGTCATGTTGTAAGTAAGAGTTAGAACTAATAGGAGGAACCACCAGAAAGAGGAAACAAAACACAACAGAAGAAAAAAAATAGCAAATAGTATGCTTCAATCTGCATTCAAACTCCATAGTTCTTTCTTTGGATGTGGATAGCCTTTTCCATCATTAGGCCTTTGGAGATGAAAGACCCATTTTTCTAACACTGATATTCTTCTGGGAAGGCTGTGTGGTTCCAAGCCAAGGAATATTGTAGTCTTTAAAGAATTGAAGTGGAATATGACCCAGAAGATAATGAAGAGACGTAACATATTCTGTGGCAACTAGGTTTAGTACAGTTGTGTCAGGCTCAAATAGAAATGAATCCCTGCCTCTTATTAACTTAGAAAACATCATAAATTAATGTTTGATTTTCTATTGTCTTTTTATTTATTTTGTTAAACATTTCATGCTGGACTCTGGAGGCCTTGAGTTTGACATGTCTGATGTAATAAATAGATGGCTGGACTTGGAGTCTGGAAAATCTGAGTTCAAATTCTATTTCAAACACTAATCGTGACCCCAGGCAAGCTATTTAACCTTTCTCAGCCTCAATTTCCTCATCTGGAAAATGGAGATAATAATTTCGTGTGTATCAAATGAGGTTATATAAAGCACTTTGTGAACTTTAAAGTACTATATCAAATGTTAGCTATTATGACAGGCTGGCTGTAGCGTATTACAAATGAAAAATTATACAGAAGAAGTGATATAAATAATATTCTCAAATAAGTGTAGGAATGGGAAAAAGAGCATCACATCACACAAGGGATAGCAAGCGGGCAGCTCATATTCCATTGGTATCCATCTGTGCAATGTTATGAGTTCATGAAGAATGCTTTATGCCTAGTCTTTTCCTACTTGGGTAAACCCCCTGGTGGCCAATTTGTGGGAGTACGTGGAAAAGAGATGCACAGAATGGGTAAATGGGAACAGTTGTGATCCACATCATTGGCTGAGACAGTGATGAGACAATAGATTCTTCAGAGTAAATGTAGAATTCTAAACCTGGATTCATAAAATTAGCCATATAAAAGTACAAAAGTGGAGACATTTTAGATGATAGTCTTTGTCAAAATAACATATAAATTTTCTTTGTCTGTAAGATCAGTATAAGTCAACAGTATGATGTGGTAATGAAAAAGCTAATGCAACCCGGCCCCAGTCACTTGACACTTACTTAGCTGTGTGACCCTGGGCAAGACACTTAACCCCGATTGCCTCATAAAAAGCAAAAAAAAAAAAAAAAAGAAAAAGCTAATGTGATTTTTTTAGGTTATATGCATGGAATAGCATACAGAACAAGAAAAATTATTATCTCACTGTGCTTATGGAAATTGCCTATAAATACTATAGCAAAAAACTACCTTCATTAAGTAATGTAACTTGTTAAGTAGTCCAGGACTTGTAAACTCATTTGTTATGCAGTATTTCTTGTGCATGAGAATTATTTAACATTATAACAGAAAAATTTTTTATAGTCTTTTCTAGTCATAAAAGATATAAAGTCATTAAATTAAAATTACACACACACACACATCTTTATGATTTCCAAGTCTTAATATATAGTATCTTATTTATTTGATCTTTTAACAACTCTCAGGGCAGGTAGGTGGCAGAGTGGGTAGAACGTAGGGCCTGGAGTCAGGAAGACTCATCTTTAGGACACTTACTAGCTGTGCAACCCTGGACAAGGCGCTTAACCCTTTTTGCTTGTTTCCTCATCTGTAAAGTGAACTGGGGAAGGAAATGGCAAACCACTCCAGTATTTCTGCCAAGAAAACCCCAGTGGGGTCATGCACAGTCAGACATGACTGAACAGCAACATGAGCAAGGCACTGTGGATGTTAGTATCCCCATTTTAAACGTAAGAAAGCTGAGACTCAAAAAAATTGAGTCACTTGCCTGTGGTCAGTCAACAAGTATATATTATGTACCTGCTGTGTATCAAGGGACTGCTAGGCACTGGGGATACAAAGATAACAACAACAAAGAAACAGCTCTTACTTTTAAGATGCTTACATTATGGTCTTACATCTAGTAAGTGCCAAAAGCAGACTTTAAACCCAGAGTACTCTTGTGTCTAAGTTCACCATTGTTTCCACTTTACCACTTCATAATCATATTAATGGAAAAGGAATTCTGCTTTGAATGCCTTTTTGTGTAAAGGCCCTGTGATTATGAGTAGTTTGAAATAAACATCAATAAAGGTCCTGACTTTTGAGAGCTATTTAGTCAAATGAGGCAAAGTAAGAAAGTAAACTGTAAACTCACAGAATTATAGAATTTTAGATGTGGAAAGTTATTTCAGAGATTATCTTGTCCAACTTTCATTAAACCAGTCATCTTACTAATCTGTTTTATAATTTTTCTAGGAATTAGTGTCGAGCTCACTGCTGTCTACTTTCTTTCATTCATAAATTAGATCTTTCTTCAAATTTGAACATTTACTTACCTCTAGCTTTTAGTCTTGACTGACAGAATGGTGGTGCCATTTATGGAAAATATGGAGATCCAGAGAGGGAACTGGTTTAGGAATATAAGAATGAATTCAGTTGGATCGTAATGACTTTGAAGTGATTAATTGAGACTGTCACATGGAAATACCTAGTGTTGCTGTTTAGTCACTTTTCAGTTGTGTCCAACTCTCTGTGACCCCTTCTGGGGTTTTCTTGGCAAGGATGTTGGAATGGTTTGTCATTTCGTTCTCCAGCTCATTTTACAAATGAGGGACCTGAGGCAAAGAGGAGTAAGTGAAGGGTCACAGAGCTAGTAAGTGTCTGAGGCCAGATTTGAATTCAGGAATCAAAGTCTTCCTGACTGCAAGCGTGGCCCTCTATCCACTGAGCTACCTTGCTTCCCAAAAGATAGTTGGAAATAAGACTTCAGTCTTTAGTGAAGCAGCTAAGTGATGTTGGATAGAGCTCTGGGCTTGGTGTCAAGAAGACTTGAGTTCACATCTAGCCGCAGATACTTCCTAGTTGTGTGACCCTGGGCAAGTCTCTTAACTTCTTCCTTCCTCAGTTTCCTCATCTGTAAAATGGTGTTAATAATATCACTTGCCTCCTAGGGTTATTGTAAAGCATTTTGCAAACCTTAAAGTGCTATATCAGTGCTAACTATTATTATGATAGATAATGATCTGGAGTTGTTGCTTTTGGATGTTGTTAGCATAAAAATAATGGCTAAATCTGTTGTAAAGGAATGCATTTTCTAAGAAACATTTTGGAGAGGAGCACAGAATGGAGTCTTGGTTAAGCTAAGAGGAGCAAATAAAGGAGATAAGAGGAGCTGGTCAAAGACAGAAGATAACCAAAATATTGGTTTGTCAGAGAAGTTAAAAAGGACTTTAAAATGATGGAGAGTAGTTGAATATTGCAGGGGCACCATCAGAATAGTCCACAAAACAAAAAATATATTAAAATTAAATGTTCAACATTACTTTATTTCATGGCACTGTATTTCAAAGGATTTAGCAAGTTGAGGCTCAAAAAGGAATTGATTTATTTCATTTTTTTCTGATTAGCTTTGGAAGAGCTAACTTTTATTTGGGGATGACATATACTTTTGGTACTGGTTGACTGGTTTTTCCTCAAAAAACTCACTGTTCCTGTTTAGAGGTGCTACTTAAATTACTTTTTTGGGGAGTTGAGATTCTCTTCTCTTAGTAACAACTAACTTGTTTCCTTATACAGCGCATACTTTTAAAAAATTAAAATAAATTTAAGTTAGTTTGTTAAGATAATTTTATAGAACTTTACATCTCTTCAAAAAAATTACAAATGCTTCCGGTTTGTCTCAGAAAAGGGGTTGGGAACCAGCAATCTTGGTATTCAGAATGCCTTGAAATTTCAGAAAACTAATAAGTTTTTGCCATTTTTTTTTTTTTTAGGTAACATTTCACTTGTTGCATTTCCGGTTTCTAGCACCAATTCAGCAACAAAGATTTTACCAAAAACCTTAGGACCAATAAATGTGAATGTTGGACCCCAAATGGTAAGCAGATCATGGATTCTTAGAACTTAACATGATGCTTGATTAAATTAAAAAAAAAATTTGTAAAAATTTGTTAACTTTTATTTGTATGTGTGTAGGGAGATCCTTTTGTTCTGTTAGTAAATTGTTGCTTTCCAGTAATTGATGAGGTTAAATCTTGAGGGCTAGAAGGCAGGCTTTTCTTTCTAATCTGAGCTTAGATAATTTGTGCAGCTCTGCCTCACTTAAGTTCAATCCATGTGTAAGTCAAGACATCACTTGTTTGTGAAGTCATTGGTTTTCAAAAACAAGGACAAATAACAATAGTATAATAGTGAGGTCACAGTTGCTTATGAAGTACTTTTCTCCCTTTTCCTGTTATTTGATTAAATTGGTGGGTTGCATTCTGTTTTTTCTTAGTGATGCTTTATCTTCTTTTCTGATTTCCATAAAAATAATATTTAATGCTGCAAACTATATATAAAATTGAATCTATGGGATGCAGCTAGAGAAGAGTCTATAGGCATTCGGGGCAGATCCAAGATGGCAGAGTAAAGGCAAGGACTCATTTGAGCTCTCCCCTAAACCCCTCCAAATATCTGTAAAAAATGACTCTAAACAGATTCTAGAGCAGCAAAACCCACAAAAAGACAGAGGGAAGCAAATTTCCAGCCCAAGACAACCTGGAAGGTCTACAGGAAAGGTCTGTTGTGCCACGCTAAGAGAGGAGCGCAATCTAGCGTAAGCCGCACCCATAGACTGGGCCCCAACAAACCTGAAGCTGGCCTCAAGGGAACTGAATCATTGGCAGCTTTGGCAGTTTTCAGACTTCTCAAGCCACAAACACCAAAGACAACTTAGAAGGTCAGTAGGAAAGGTCTGTTGGACCTGGGTGAGAGAAGAGCACAGTCTAGCCAGGCCTGCACAGTCCTAGGGTGGTGGCAGTGGCTGCTTCCAGATCTCTCAGCCCACAGATGGTAAGGGGATCAAACAACTGATCAGAAGGAGATTATAGGGGTCTCTTTGCTGGCACTGAGGTAGGATTCTGTTGCTTTGCCTATGCTTGGATCTGGGTGGCAGTCCTGGGGTGAGGAGGGGCGCTAGTATAGCAGAGCTTGTGGCAGCAGTGGAGAGGGAACCCTTCTCACAGTTCCAGGGTAGAAAAGAGTGCTTGTGATCACTCTCAGACCAGAGTACAAGCCAGGAGAGGAGTAAATACCTCTCCTTAGATCATACCACCTTGGAAGAACTGAAAACTTGCAGGTCCCTAGAAGTATCTCTGAAAATAGCTTCACAAAACCCTTGAAGCTCGGGACAGTATGCCCTCCACACTGGAAGCAGAGCCCTACCTTAACAAAGAGTTAAAAAAATCAAGAAATTGGCTGGGGAAATGAGCAAATAATGGGAAAAAAAAACTCAGACCATAGAAACTTACTTTGGTGACAAGGAAGATAAAAACATGCACTCAGAAGAAAACAACAAAGTCAAAGCTCCTACATCCAGAGCCTCTAAGAAAATATGAATTGGTCTCAGGCCATGGAACAACCCAAAAAGGATTTTGAAAATCAAGTAAGATATGTAGAGGAAAAATTAGGAAGAGAAATGAGAGTGATGCAAGAAAATCATGAAAAACAAATCAACAGCTTGCTAAAAGAGACCCAAAAAAATACTGAAGAAAATAACACCTTAATAAATAGACTCGACCAAATGGCAAAGGAGGTCCAAAAAGCCAATGAAGAGAAGAATGCCTTAAAAAGCAGAATTGACCAGATGGAAAAGGAGGTCCAAAAGCTCACTGAAGAAAACAATTCCTTAAAAATTAGAATGGAGCAAATAGAAGCTAATGACTTTATGAGAGATCAAGAAATTATAAAATAAAACCGAAAGAATGAAAAAATAGAGAACAAGTCTATATTTGGTCTTACTACTACTTTCAAGAAGTTTTTGTATGAAAAGATATATGAAGGAAACCAGATTAGGTAATTCATCACTTAACAGTATTTTAAAAAATTAATTGTAGAAAATATAAAAGTAAATGTGCTTCTCCAAAGACATTAAGTAGTAAACATATCAGAACATGAAATATGGCACATTCAGAGGGAAATGTCTCCTGTTGCTTAGATTGGGAAAGATATATTTAAATACTGCTTCCCCCCCCCATTTTTCTAACATATATTAAACACATATTAAAAATTTGCACTGCCTTAAAAGATAGTTTAAAATATGATTTTTGGCTTATAGGATTTTGATAATGCCAGATAGTCTTTAAAAATTGTCTAGTCCAATCCCTTTATTGTATCGATAAGGAAACTGAGGCATGAATATGTAATGTAATATCACTGTGATCTGTAATATAAATTTCTATGAATACTGGAAATCTTAACTTATGTGTGCCTGGTGTATATGTGTGTGTGTGTGCATGTGTACACATATATCCTTTATACAACCTACAAAGCTATGATAGATCCCTTCCCACTATCACTGAGAATTTACCTCACCATCTTTTTTTCTTTCTTTTGCAGACCCTATCTCTGCAAGCTACCTTGCTGCCAAGATGCCCCCATTTACTACCCTTCCCTAGTGATTTGCCTCTCACCTTGCTTTATGACCTGGCAGGGATTAGAATTTTCAGTGGCAAAAAGGATTGGGCATGAAAGATGAGGGAGAAGGAAGTGCAAAGAGAAAGAACACCCCCCCCCACCCCACCCCCCGGTCTTCCTGCCATTCTCCTGTTACTCTCCTCTACTCAGTTGTCAGCTTAAAGCTAGGGGAAGGCTAAGGGAAAACTAGTGCAAAATGAAGGGGAAAAATAATAAGCAGAATGGGAGAGATGTAGGGGACAGAACACTAGGCCAAAATGGAGGAAAATGTGTTACTGGCATCCAGCATTCAAACAATGAATGTAATTTACTTTGAAATTGAAACATTATTATGTATAGTTAAAAAATCAACTCAATTTAGTCTGGCTTCAACTATTTTTGATGAAGCCATGTTACATCCTTAGGATCACTGCATTCTTTCCAGGTATTCATTAACCATTCTTTTAATTGTAAATTCAATAATTTTGCAAGGAAATGAAGTCAAACTTACTGACCTATAGTTTAGTTTACACGCTCTTCTTTTGAAAATCAAGATAACATTCCCCACCCATCTCCTAGAATGAAACCCCTAATATTCTCCATAATCTTTCAGAAGGCCCTGGCTATGTCTCAGCAGTCATTTCTGACAATCTTGATTAGGCTGTTCTCATTTAATTTTAAGCCCAGTAGACAGATTTTGTTTCATATCTTCCCCTGTGGATGTCATATCTATATGCCAATTGTCCTTAAATGTTTTCTACCTTGATGGTGATTGAGTAACTTTATGTGGCAGTGGATACAGCACAGATGGAGTCTGGTCAAGAAGATGGAACTCAGCCCTGCTTCTAGCTCTGTATGACTGGGCAAGTGATTTAAACGCTTAGAGCCTCAGTCCTCTTCTTTGTGAAATGGGGTGTTAATACAATTATCTATCTCTTGGAGCTCAAATCAGTTACTGTATATAAAACATTGTAAATTTTAAATCAGTGTGCAAATACCAGTTATTAATGTTAATAAAGTTTGAGTGAAGATATTGTTGGAGATAGAGAAGCCCTTGACTGAGTTTTCAGTCCTCAGCCAGTAGTTTGGGAATTGATGGTAGAGATCTCAGCCTTTCCTGCTAGTTTTCCAAATAGGCTGCCACTTCCATAACCCATTCTCTGTGATTTGCTGGAATTCCTGGGGTTGAGTCAGGGATGGAGGGGATAGAATGGGGATGGAACAACATGCAGCCTTCTCCTTCTCCCTCCCCCTACATAACACATCTGACACTCTGCTGTTATTTCCTTTCTTTTCTTCCTCTCTTCCATTCCTTTCCCCACACTCCAGTGGTCACTAGTCTTCATGAAATTGTTACAAAAAAGAAGTTAGCAATTTTTGGATGAAGGAAAAGGTAAATAATAGTTTAATGGTAGCCCAAGTTCTATTAAAATTGGGACACTTGTCTGTACTCAACAAATTGTATGGTTGAGAACCAGATCAAAACTTTCACATTTTCAGTAAATCTCATTGGTACTTTAACTAAAATTCCACGGAGCATTAACCTTGTTCAACTTATTTAATAAATTTTCTTTTAGAGCCCATTTTAGGTGTATGGTTTTTAGCTTCAAAGTAATTACCAATTTATAAATTTAGCAATTTTCAAAAACTCAGGGCAGAAGCAGTTGTATTTTGTTCTTAATAATTTTGCATTAAGAATATCAGACTTTTCTGTGCTGCGTTTTAAATGGTACAACAATTAAGATTTATTGCTTTAACTGTCTGCTAGGCTGTCTGCAGGCCTTTGGAAGATTACTCTGAGATTGAACTTTGAAAAAACATTGTTAATCATTTTTCTACTCTCGACCATATTGATTATGTATGTGGATAAGGATGGGTATATGTGAGTATATGTAAAAGGTGAGATAATAAAAATGGCAGCCACAGTGCTTTAATGTGTACAGAATGCTTTGCACACCTTTCATTTGATCCTTGAAACAACCCTGTTTGGGAGGTGGTATAAGTTTTACTATTTAACACTTACAAAAGTGTTTAAATGTGAGTTTAGGTAAGTAAATGTGTTAGAAAAACCATTAAGTGTTAGAAGGAAGCAGAAATAAGTGACATCTCCATGTGACTAATAGTCAGGTTCACCCATTCACTTGCAGAGATGATAACCTCATCTACACATTCTATTCTATTTTGACTTAAGCAGTAGATAATGATGCTGTCTGTTTTTTAAATATTTTTGGATGAATGAATGGGGGAAAAAATCATTTGCTATATGCTTACTGTGTATGTGTGAAGTGCTGGGGATACAAACAGAAAAACTGGTACAGTTCTGAGGGTACAGCAGTAGGGTAGATGTCAAGGTCCCAGGGTCTTTGGGTTATGTCAGTAGGTCAGATGACAGTTGCTGGATGTCTGCAGGCCTTAGAGGCAAGACAGGTGGTAAGGAATGAA